TAATGGCGAGCGTTGTGTGGCGCGCTCGATTCTTGTGGTCATCATCGATCGGATATAAATAAGCGCGAGAAAGAGAAAGAAAAACACAATGGCGATGACGGCGATGATAATAATAGTTGTAACAATTAATATTTAGTGACGGAAGAGCGTAAAGAACGAAGCTATATATATGTGTTATATATATATATATATATATATATATATATAGCTATGTAAAAAATTCCTATATACAGAGGTAATAAAGTTAAGGCTCCCAATTTTTACTAAAAAGGAAAAGAAATAACAAGGTATCGAAGCTTTCTTCTCCGACGCCATTAAGTCTGTGCGATCCTAATGACCGAAGAAAGAGAAGTGCCATCTTCCTTTTTTACACAGTGTTATTTGCAATTTCACAAGAGCAACACAGCATTTTAGTTTCATAAGCGTTATTTGGCCCGACAAGATAACACGGCAAATAAGTGTTTCATTAAATACGAGCTCGTTCTTCACTTTGCTATCGAAGTCGCACGTGGAATTGTTGTGAGTCATTCTGTGTCAACTGTAACGTATCGTAATGTATCGATAAACGTGAGCTTAATTTTCCTACGAAGTCTAAGAAGCACGAATTGGTCTTGGCATGTTCGCTATCACGATTCACCTGGGAAATCGTCCGCCACAAACCACCCTATATTTTTTTATATTATTTCATCGTTCAAAATGCTTATATTATGCTTTTTTTTAATTTAAGGTAGTTGGTTCGTAAATTTATTTTCTTATGAATTTTTTAAATTTCAACAGAATATTAATCGAAATATAATCTACACACACGCGAAATTAGAAAAAGATCGACCATACCGAAGCTGAGATGGCTGAAGTTAAATTTAAGCGTTATTTACATCCCACACAACACGTATGTCTAAAAGACGTCTCAGAGACGCCTTTTAGACGTTTTATTATCTCAAAGACATGTTTACGTACTCTTCGCAGGTGAAGAGTCTTTGACAGATAACGGATGTTTCACAGATAACGGCTTTCGATATCACGTTTTTATCTCTGACAACTAAACTGCTCTTTTAGGTTTAATGAGAAATGAGAAAACGATAGAAGAGAAAATTGTAAAAACATTACAAAAAATTATAAGATCATTGACCATCTAATTTTTCAGATACCGATATGTAAAATACATAATTTCTGATAACAGTCGAAGTATACGACAGCTAAATCTATAAAGACTTAACAATTTTTTTCTTAAAAGATAGAATGATTAAACGACCTATAATTAACACGTAATTTTCCAAATAAATATTCCCAGTAAAATATTTTCCAAGTAAATTGTCCAAGTAAAATATATTTATTTGGTCCAAATAAAATTTACTTAATCCAAGTAAAAGTTTGCTAAGAAGTATTGGAGTAATTATTTACTTGAATCTAGCATTTTTTTAACTGTGTACGATATATTCACAGCCATGCCTAATACAGGCAATCCCAGCCGAAACTACTATACATCAAAGCGCGAAAAGCAATTATTTCTTTGTGAATTTTCAAACATTATGCAAATTTGATGGATATTTGTTTGTTTTAATGTCAAGACTATACATCATAAATTATGTTTCTGAACATGTACACTGGAAGAAGGAAATACTTAAAAACTTATTTGTGAAAGATATCAGGTTGAATTCGCAGAAACAATTATTCGTTTCTGTAAAAATAAGTTTTATTTCTATGAAATAAACGCGTGAAATGAAACGTTATATTCCACAAGAAAATTTTTAAGTATTTTCTCCTGAATGTAACACGGATTTTCTCGCCGAACTTCCTCGTGTTCTATTAAACATTACCTCTCTAACAGTAACTGCCACCACGAGCCAACTACCTTAAATAACTGCTCCACGTACACAGTAGCCTTCGTCATACACATCAATCCGTAGTGCGGGTGATCGAATTCTTTCGCTATTAGAAAATCCCATCACGTCGGGAAGAAACGTGTGTAACTAACTGTTAACGAACAGCGTGAACGCGCGTTTCGGCGCCGAGCAGCTGTTCGTGTCCTACTTTGCAAGCAGTCTATAACGCTGGACTTTAACGATCCCTCTCCATGAGTGAGTAAGGTCTGCCCATCTCCTCCTCCGGAATCAACGGAATGTACCTCGTCCTGGGATCGTTCCTTCGCTCGTAAGCGTACGGGAACATCATCGTGGACCTCGCCAGCATCCTGCCGCTCTTCGCCCTCGCGTCCTTGTGCCGCGGGATCTTCTGGATGTGCGTGATAGTCGTGGTGGTGCTCAGGATTCGCGGTTCCGGGATGTCATCGGAGTCGGCCGACGAAGTCGGGCTGGACGTTTCCTCCAGGTCGACCAGAGGTATGAACTTCCTCTTGTACGTGCTGGCGTACGTGGTCGCCCTCTCGTCAGTCTCGATTACCTCTATGGGCTTTCTCTCGACGACTTCGCTCTCCTGAGTCGCCGGCTTGCTCTCCTCGTCGCTGGACGTGCTGATTCGCGTGGTCGTAACGTCGCTTCTCATCGTGATCGGCACCCAATCGCCGGTCTCAGGCGCTTCCGAGTCAGTCGGCCTCGAGGACGTCCAGTCTCGGCTGTGATCCACCGACCAGTCGAGCGCCCGCGAGACATTCGGGGATCTCCGCGGCGAGGCATCCTCCGATGACATCGTCGTCGGCTCGCTGATCGGCCGCCAGTCGTTGTCGTCACGGCGAGTCTCGCTCGGCGGCATCGTTCCCGTCTCGAGACCGGAGACGTTGCCGTTCGCTGCACGGTAGAAAGAATTTCGTGCCCGATTCAACACGTTTCACATGCCTCAAACGGCACACACAGATTTGTGCGTTAATTTCCGTGTAATTTAACACACGGTGACTTGCGAAGTAACACTAATACTACGTGAACAATTAACGCAAAATGTATTATTTTAACACTTACACACGTTGAATATCGACTTAACGCGAGAAATTGAGATGAACACAATATGTTGAAAATTTAACGCAAGTTTTTCAACAAGGACTGATGTTAACGCAAATTCAAAATGATTTGTTTACCCTGTGGCGCCTTCTCCGGATATACGGCTTCCACTACCAGCAGCAGGTCGTCTCTCGACGCGGCGTATTCGCTCTCACCGTTGTCCGACCGCGCGTTCGACGAGGACGGGTCCTCGAGGTTGGGCGACTCGTCGGATTTGCGCCGGCTGGTGTTCGCCCGCGCGACTTGGTCGCTCCTCTGCTGAGCGGTCGGCTTGCTGCTGGCTTCGGTGGTCCTCGTTCGCAGCATGTCGCTCAAGAGGGGAAAATACTTGGGCTCTTCGTGTTTTATACCGGTGACGAAACTCGGCGTGTACTGGGAGATCAACGGCAGGAGAGTCTGCCGGGCGTATCGTTCCGCTTGCGCGAGGATGATGGCCAGTCTCTCCGGCAAGAATTGCACGGTAAATGACCTGGTGGAGGTCGATGAGGTCTCCTGGATCTCGTCCGGCTGCTTCTCGTGCAACGTCGCCTCGTTCCGCGCGTTTTGCCGGGTGGAACGCGGCCGCAGGATCGGCTCCGTCACTTCCGGCAGCTTGAGCGACCTGCCGGCAGGAATACTGCGATAATGAAATGAAAGTATCGATATTAGTACTGAAACGGGTGTCTAATCAAGACATTATCGGCGATACCAGTATCGGGATAAAAATATCGATACCGATACTGGTATCGAAATTTAAAAACATTAAAAATGAGAGGGAATACAAAAATCGGAGAATTATTTGTCCTGCAAGCGACTTTTTCAAGACTTAAAGAGCTAAGTGCGGATGGTTTAATGTCATTAGATATTAATATACATATATAATTTTATGTATAATATAATACATATATATATCTGTTCTATAATTTTGACGTTAAATTTCCACATCACCCGTGAAATACTATTGTTGACGCGTTTTCGTCCGCTTTCCTGCTGAGCTAATGTTTCATTTGAATTTATTTTTAGCGAAATAGGCCTACCGGAGAAATACTTAAAATACTTAAAATAAAATATTTAAAAAGACACGCATCAACAATAGTATCTCACGGGTGATGGATATCACAGCATCCCTACCTGCCGGACTCCTTCTTGCTCGGCCGCAGCACCGGTTCCCTGATCTCCGGCAAGTACTCCGTGGTAGTAGTGGCACCGGTGGTGCTGGTGATCTCGGTGACGCGTTCCGCCGGCGTCGAGGCGCGGTAGATCAGATTCGTGCCGCCGGAGAAACCTCGGCCGCGCTCCAGTTCCGTGTTCTCCAGGGAGTTCGAGTCGCCGTCGCTCGATATGTCCAGCACGATCCACGGGTTCGTGGCGACGGAGCCGCGCCGGTTCGCCGCGTCCTCGAAGCTGATCGTAGTGCCGAAATTCGCCTCCACGTCGTCGGGGATGCGGAGGTTCTGCTCCTTCGTGAACGGACCGAGAGACTTCCTCTGCGCGTTATTTTTGTCCAGTGGGAGGACCTCCATAGTGGGATATCCATCCTTCGTCTCATAGTTATGGTCCTTTGTGAACGGACCGATGCCGCCGGTCTGCTGCTGCTGATGGTAGTGCTTCTTCTCATCGACCGCTTCGTGCTCGTGCGACGACACCGGCGACACCGATGACGAGGATGTTGAGGTGGAGTTCTCGGGGTCCATGGGAATGTTGCATTCGCCGGGATAGAGAGGTAGATAAACCGAGCGATCGGACTCCAGGATCAGGCCTTTCTTGCAGACCGACATGGTCTTGCCGAAACTGTCGACGATGGTCACCTTGTCGATGGTCCATGACACCAAGCCGGACGATATCCAGCCGCTGTACGCCGTGTACTTGATCTGTCGAGGCAATGTGATAACATGAAACGATCTCGCTGAGACTGGCGTCTAAGAGAGTCGCGCTACGTCTAACGCCACACGGGGGAAAACAATTTGTTCTAATTCGAGAGTGATATTCTCATGGTGTTCACAGTGTGTTATACGGTGTCACATGGTGTATTTACAGGGTGTTACACGACATGTTGCATCGACTTAATGTAACGTGTTTTGGGTATAAATTGAAGTAGAAAATGTCCTATAAAACATAGATTCGATTCGAAAGCGTTGCCCATCTACAAGTGCTTCAATCGATCACGAGCATCATTTTGTATACACGTATCCTTTTATGTCAATAATTGCGTCCAGCAATAATTTTGTCCATACGTTTTTTCCGCTTTTGAATCGTCATTAATGAAGATGATTGCAGAGAAGAGCCTTAACGCTCGGGGTAAAACACGTAGATATGCATCAGAGATGCGCTCACCTCGATCCCCTCGAGATTGTTGACCGCTGGATGCGGCACGACAATCTTCTTCAGAATCGAACCGACGAGGAGCTCTTCGTCTTTGCGCGTCATAGCGAACGTGTCGTTGTAAAAGCCCTCTCCCACGAAGGTGATCTGGAAAAGGACGGAGAGAAGTCGTAGCCGACACGGCGGGGGTAAGACGCGAAATGATCAAATGATCTGGCTTAACTCACCTGGAGCTTGCCGTAGCTCCTGACGGACCTCTCGCTACGGCTGTTGTACACCTTGATCTGATGCTGATGCGCGCAGAAAGGTTCCTCGTCTCTCGTTATAAGGTAGAGTTGGCCCCGGGCGGGCGACTCGTTGCTGTAATAACCCATCTCGCCGCAGGGCCTGTCCACGCCGTTGACGCTGCAGGGGAAACAATCACCCTTCATCAGACCATCGTAGCCGTTATCGCAGGGAAACGCCGGGAATCGGCACTTGGGGCTGACGGAGTCGGTGAAGAACTTGTACGCCCGCCGATGGTTGCACAACGATTTGCCCTCTACGGCGCTCGCTACGAAACGACAGACAGCATATTACACGGTAAAAATTCGAACGGCAATTTTACGCCCCGGAAAAAAAGTCTGCTCTATATCTGCTCTATTTTGGGTTAAAAAATTCTAAATCTAATTTTTCTGAAATTTGAAAATTCAAATTTGTTAATTAAAATTAAATTTCGGACGTAATAAAATTGAAACTTTAAAATTTAGAGCGGACTTCCTGGGGCATAAGATTCACATATTATTTTATATTGTAAAACAGGCAGAGCATCGGTCTGAGCCTCGAACGGCTGAAAGTAACGGTGATTTCTTTAGTGCGCACCGGTACACGTGTGAATATACATTAAAAGAAGCTTACACCAGATAATATCGGTGACAGCGCCGAAGAAGAGATTGGAGCATCCGCTCTGCATTTTACCGCCGTTTGGGTAATAATCCACGTCACCCATGGGCTGCCAAGAACCGAGTCCGCCCAGAATCAGCTGCTCGCCGTTACTGTGAATCACGTCCACGTAATTCGCGTCCGTCACGTCCAAGCGTGCCCTTGGATCTTGCGACTCGAAAAGCGGCCCCGCGGGATCCAGACCTGCTCGCATTACGGAAACATGCGATGACCTTTGAGATTCACACCGTTTCATGCGAATTCCCCCTCAACTTTTTCCCAAAAGGGGAAAATAATTCATTAATTTGTCTATTTATTTATTTATTTAGTATTTAGCAGTTGGTAATATTTATAGTAAGTGATCTCATATTTCGGCGAAAGTCCCACTCTGACTTCTTCCGAATGAAATTACACTGATCGCCAATTTCGTATCATAAATTGTATGTTTCTTGAATTGTTATTTTTTCCATTCATGTTTATGCGTTGAAACAGAAAATGGCAATAAAAGAGATTATGTAATTGTTATTCAAGAGATATAGGCTACAGTTTAATTGAGATGCGATTTCCTAAAATAATTATATATTCTAATTCGAAAATCTATGTAGGTTCTGGTTAGAAGTATAAGATTTCAAACATATGATTCGAAATGGGAGACATGAACCGTTGCTATTTGGAATCTGGTTTATCCCTCAACGTTTCCCTAAAGATTGTTCTGCTTTCCATTAATTATATTCGTTATATTTGCGATCAATGTCACAAAATTAACCAGAGTTACCGGCTCGGATCCAGGATATAAGATTTTTGTATTGAACAGTGTTATCAGCGCGTAGCGCAAAACTATATTCGCGTACTTTCGAGCGCTGTAAATTATTCAGCAATACAGCGGACACTTCTGGCTGAAAAATATCGACCGGTTACTTCTAAAAATAATCACGCGCAGAAAAAGAGGGTGAGAGGGATAATGCGCTTTCATTTAACGTAACCGGCACTGCTACCATTAATCACGGACACGCCCACGACGGAGAGAACGTATGGGATTAATTGATATACATTCGAAGTTGCGAAAATGATCGGATTTTCTCAACCCCGCGCGGAATAAGTGAATCAAAAAAGGTAAGAGTCAGTGGAGGAATACGCTCTGATTGACCTCTGCTTCGGCGAACGCGTTTTACTTTGCCGAAACCCGGGAAAGTATTCGATTGCGCGAGCTTGCGCGGAAGAAAAAAATCGCACCATCGACGAAAAAAACGCAATTCGCCACGGAGGCCGATCGCGCGGCTCAATCAAAAAGCATCGGCGCGTGTCGAAGTAAGAGGCGGAATGCGGCGAACGCTCAAATGCAATGAACAGCTGTTGAGAGAGGGACCTTGTTACAGTTATTCTCGAATAGCCGATTATACGGCGCAGCCGATGCTCGATCGGCCGGGGCTTACGACCGTCGGAAATACTCGTAATTCTGCGCATGAAAAATTCATACGGGAATCCTGGTTGTTCGCCTCGGCGCGTGGAACGGGCGGGACCAAGTTGAGTAACAATGCGGTAACACGGGGAATGACCGTCACCGGTGAACGAGAGATCGCGGGATATAAATTCTCCCGCGAATCTGGGATCAGTTTTTCGCCGCGATAGCGACGAGATCAGAGGCGAAGCAGCAGAGCCGATATACTATTTTCTTTTTGCACTCCAAAGCCAGATGGAAGGTGCAAAATTCAAGTTTACGCGCATGGGTGCAAATCAACAACATTTCTCGATCAAAATATAGGATGATCTTGTGAGAATTATCACGCGTATGATTTACGTCGATACGACATACGTCGATTTACCCATGTCAGTTTTTTTCTTCTACACCCAGCGGGCGAAGGATTAATTCCCGTGCGTTTCTCGGTGCTCGCGAATTAAAAATCATCAGTTTATTTCAATGAATAAAAATTTCATTTCTCGTGCATTCTAATATCGTACGAAACTCTTGGCATCTTTTCTCAAGAAGATTACGAGGACGATTAACGATATTTGACTTACCGGTGATTCGGGAAACGTTGCCGAGCTCGGCCCCGGCGAATCCAGCCACATGAGCGCCCAGGCTGAATCCTATCAGGTGCACTTTTTCCAGCGGTACGTTCAAGCTGCGAATTAATTTCGCTAGTTGTCGACCCACCAATCGTGTGTTGGCCGCCGCTCTCACGTAATTGGGCACGGCGCTGCCCGGGCCCCAGTCGACGCAAACTACGAAAGTAGGAAAGTATCGGGTTGATCGGAAAAAACTCGTTTGCTTTCTTCCTGTGTAAATCTCGCGTGGATTAAACGAAAAAGAAGGACGAATTTTTCAACGAACGGTAAGAAAGAACAAGAAGAAAAGTGAAAAGCCAATAAGAAATCTCGAGTATGGCGGTAATATCAGCTGCACAACTATTGCCACGTTTTTTGGTCAACTAAGCAAAAAATAACTATCCTTTTCTTTTTCTTTTATATGCTAAATTGTAAGTCGATCAATAAAGATACCATTATTATTATTGTTGTTATAATTGTTAATGTTTAATTATTTAAAGCGAAACTACGATGGTTTATTCTGGTTCTGCCATGCGTCCACGATTAGAAAGACGAAAATATTCAGGTATAAATTATATTACAATTATCGTAACGCGAGTTAATCGATTAAATGCGGAAATTTCATTGTATACCTATGTTGCAATCGTGAATGCTCATCAACGCTGACCTCATATCGTACACCCATAGGTGATTGCAATTGCTCCCGAATCCGTGGACGATCACTTTGGTCGGCAGATCGGGGTCTATGGCACGATTCGCTCCATCGTTTATATCGTCGGCGGGCACCTCCATGGGGATCGATCTCGCCTTTCTACTCCCATATACGAGGAATCTATGCCGCAGAACAAAATATTTTAGTAGTTTGCTGGCAATGTGCCGAATTTTACTATTAACAGTGCTATTAATAATACTATATTTCCAAAGCCTGAATCGACATTTTAATTCGACATTAATGCTACAAATTCTATCGAATTTGAAGGATCGACGAAGAATCTCGAAATGTAAAATTATGTTGGTTATTATTACATTTGATCCCGCAAACGATTGCACCATTCCTCCGTGTTAAGGTTTAATGGAGGATTTGCTTCAGAATTATTTATTATTCGGTTGTCTCGATATTTCCTGCCTGCATTTGATTAGTTTCAATATGCGACGCATTAATTACGTAATTATTCAACTGTGGATAGAGTATGTGTAATATATAAGTAAATATTAAATAATTAATATAGATAAATAATATAATTAACGAGAAGGATAACCAAAATCACGAGCTTTCCTCTTTTAGAACCTGCTTATCATCATTGATGTTGGAAATTTGGACTGGAAATTTCTGCTTCCCCTTTCAGTATCTGTATCTATATGTATACTCGGTCATAGAACGGTTGCAACGGTTTTATTCTCCTTACATACTTCAGAACACACAAAAAATACGACGAAACGAACCTATAATTCACGAACATGCGCAATAAATGGTCAGACAGTTATTAAAATTAGATATGTATGATATAATTTTGACAATTGTCCGACTATCTACTGCGCGTGTTCGTAAATCATAGGTTCGCTTCGTCGTATTTTTCGTGTGTTCCGAAACATGTAAGAAAACAAACTGTTGCAACCGTCCTGTGCCCGATTGTACTTAGTTACATCAAAAAATGTATCTGTTACAACACTGGTAATAATGCTTTAAACAGAAATGAAAAGACAACGTTTAGTGATTGACAAAAGATGGCGTAACCCTTTCTGAAATCCCATTGTTTTGATGTTCTTGCGAGTTGCGTATTCTTCCGAGTAGTTCCAAGTCGAGGAACGACGTACATACCGCGACACGGAACACGTATATCTATGCGTTAGTTATTCATGTCGGCTCTTTAAATATTTAATTGAATTAATATGAGCTTCTCCGACGAAATTGCATCTACGCGAGCGGCAGGGTCAGTGTCAGTGCCACGAATAGCCGAAGGCAGGATATTGAATCAGGAAATCGTGATGAAAGAGGAAAAATGAAGGAGGATGTCGGCAGCAATACGTCATGCATTACCAGGTGCGTCTAATTATTTGTTATATAGAACGTTTCCGATCATAACGGATGTTCGATGAACTCACCGAGAATAAAGAGATACTCGAGTTGATATTTAGGCCGGTAATCATACTCCGTTATCATTTGACAGTGAAGTGATTATTACCGTTTCGTGAAATTCCGATTACTCGTTTACGTTGATGATTGTACAATCAACATAAAAGTTGCAACGCTTTTTTTTCAGTTAGTCTCGCAACGTTTCAGTGTTCAATAGGAGAATTCGTTTTTAATAATTTTCAAGAAATAGAAATAGGGGAAAACGTACAGTGTGATTGGCAGTTTTACGATACATTTCTATTTTAAGTTGTCTCTTGATGCAAAACTGACACTTGTAGAATTCGTTCTTTTTTTTGTAAATATTAGTCAAAATTCTGCGCTACAAGAATACTTAATTATATTGGAAAAATAAAATATATCCTGCTCGAAATAAAATATTGAATTGAAATAACGAGAATCATTGTAATCGGCACTCTCGTCATAATAATTGGCATATTTTTGTCACAGTGATTAGCACTCATCAGAAATATGTTAAATAAAGGAATATGTCGCAATTTAGAGCTAATTACTCAACGAAACTCAATATTTAAATTTTACTGCTAAACGATTTATATTAGATAAATGCATTGTCCACACATACCAGCATACCGGTGGCCTTTGCACTGCAAATCCAAGTATGTAATTTTTATATGTAGTCACTTTTTACGCATTTGTATGCATGTTATGATTTATAATTAATATTATGATTTTGTACACATAAGTGAGTAAAAATTACACATTTGAATTTGCCGTAATGCCAATTTTGCCAATTTGTGTATAATTTTTACACACTTATGTTGTGTATAATTTTTACACACACATAAAATTATACTAATAGCGCGTGCAAATTGCAAATAAGTAAAATGTGGCCACACAAAGTATGTAAAATTACACAGTTAGATTTTGCAATGTTATTGCAATCTAATGAGTTAATCGACACTGTAACTTCACCGATTGCTCTTCAATAGACCAGTTTTCCCCTTATCATAAGCAATTGACAACACATCCGATAATGCAGTAATTAACCTGTTTTGCGTTTAAATATGCTAATCACCGTACTTCTTCTCCCACATTTTCCTATTGGGTACGAAGTGTGTTGCGAAACTCATCGAAAAAAAAAAAGTGTTGCAACTATTTTTATGTCAATTGCGCACAGAACGGTGTAATATACTTAATGTATCATGCAACTAGGTTATTAGAATTTCTCAAACGTAGACATCGGCAGCGTTTCTTAACTGTATATTATTGACTTCTTATTTACTGATTTTTTAAAGAAGCGGGGACGATGTGTCGGAGCAGTACAACCTGCCATTGTGATAGTTTCACGTTAACAGTAATGAAATATATGCGCTTAAAAATACTAGTAACCTAATTATTAACTGCATGTTACGGCTATTATGCGGACCTGTGTATTTGTATTTATTTAACACCGATTCAAACAGTATAAGTAGTATAACGGCCCATACAAATATGTAATTAATTTTGCACTCACTGAAATATCATAAATAATTTGCAACTATAAATGCCGATCCTTAGAATCAAAATGTAAATCTAACAAGTATTAATTTGACGGTCTGATAACACTGCTTGAGTCTTATCTTGCTTATTTCATCTTGCTTATTCCCAACGTCTTCTTTTTAGTTCTATCATTGATATTGTGTCAGATCCAATTTAAAATCCCTATTTCGATCACATAAATACAAATCCTTCCTTTTCACACTTTTTGAATTTCATTGAAAATAGTTGAAGGTCAAGAAGAAAAGCGATAATGAATGAATTATGAACGAAGAAAAAATTGTTCTGTTTATTCATTGTGTATAATCCCGCATATTTATCTATATTAATCTTTAATATTTACTTTTTATCGCGCATATCCTATCTGCAAGTCGAGCAAGTTACGTAATTAATACATTGCTCATTGAAACTAAGAACAGATTGAACGCAGATAGAATATCAAGGTAAACATTACGCAATTATGAAACGAGGTTCCCTTCAAACCTCAATATGGAAAAACCATCAGCAATGCGAGTCTCGGCAACATCCAAGTAGGATAACCTATGCAACGTTATATCTCGAGATTCTTCATCGGTTCTTCAAGTTCGACGGGATATATAGAGTTAATGTTCGATGAAATTTGCAGAGTTAAGAAGCAGAATTTCAATTCGCGTGATTGTTCGCATATATAGTGTATTCAGGTCGAGTGTATTTGTCGCGTACGGTACTAAATGGACACCTATCGGTGTCTTTACCTGGTGCCGACGTCCTTAGGCGGTGACGGCAGCATCTCGAGGTAACTGAACGGCCCGGTATCCTCGAAGCAACCGACGTCCTCGTAGCAAACTTTGGACACTTCCCTCTTTCCCCTGCGGCGGGACATTTTGTGCATCCTCCACTCCTGCATCGACTCGAAGACCGCGCGGAAGATCTCCATGTCGTTCATTTCGTCTTGACTCTCGTTGAACAACGAGAACTCCTGACCCGCAACGGGATCTGTCGGAAAGCGACGATTTACGTTTCGCAAACTGATAAGATTGTATACATCCGCCAGATTCATTTCGTCCAACCGCTCGCTCGAGACAGGACCTCGATTTAGATCCTCGATTTCCGCAGCTCATTGGCGACACGAGAACGCGCGTCGCTCTTGGCAGCGGTTTCGGTACGTTCATGGGAATACCCTAACGGCTTCCTCGCTCCATGGCTCGCGGCCGCTATCGTTATTAGCATAACGCCTGAATAACAATTTCCCGGAACACCGACGTGATATCTCGCACCTGATAGATTCGCACGTGGGTATCCCCCTTTCATTATCTCCGCCGATTATTCGCGAACGGTATCGCATCAGCGGTTGAGTCGCGATCTGGAGCGAGCGCATCGTCGTCGGACGATGGAGGAGCAACTTACGTTCAACCGTGGGAAGAATTCTTTTTCAGCATCTCTGCGGTATGCAAAGCAGCCGGTAATAATTTACAACGGTTGATATAATTTGCACAATAATCTTTCTTCTTGTGCACACACACACACACACAACATGCTTCCTTTGAAATTTCAATTTTTTATTTTCTGCCGGATTTCGATAGATTTAGCCCCGCTATGCGTGACGTAAGCGTGGAGAGAAGCGTCGACTAATTCGATCCGCGGATCAAGCAAATCAAGCTCCCCTTCCCTCCCCGGCGAACGTTTTGAGGAACTAGCAGTCGTCGCTCAGACGTGAATTTAAATGCTGCTCGTGCTTATCGTCCGTCTTATTAAAACCATTGTAAACTTTCGAGCGTACTTGGAGCGCGCTCGGGGAATGTCGAAGACTGTCGCAGGTCTGATGATGATGAGAGTCGTCGGCACCAATGACATAATTTATACAAAAGCCACCTAGTAGATACCGCAATTTGATAAGAAATGTTACGCGATAACGCCGTTAAACTGGCCGCTAACGTATTCGATTGAAGTCGCGTGACGTTATTTTGCGGGACGCGCGGTTAATCGTTAAATAATAATAAGGACGAAAGGACGATTTTCTAATTAAGATACCGCGTGAAGTAATCGGGATCATGTATGCGCAATCGTAGAAATGCGTCGAGCGCGTTAGCGCGCAGCGATCATATAATTCGCTATGTGAAAACGCGCGCCTGTTTTTGCACCGTTCGCGGAACAACGCACAAGCTGCTTTACAATTGGTATTGCGCAACGACGACAATTAATGGGAAAAAAATATATTAAATCGCACGATTGCGCAATCGTCGGAACTCGGAATATAAAGGCGTCGTCGCTTTCGTATGAGGTTAATGCAGCATTGAGAGCTCGGAAATATGCATCGGGGACGAGAAAAAGATGTATATTAAACGCGCGCGAAGAAATTGCTTGGGAATTGCGACACGTGCCCTTGCTTAACATCACAATCCGCGTCCTTCTTCGCGCGATAAAGACCGTCGCGTAATCATTCGAGGTGACTTTGAGAATTTCTAACGCGCATACAACGTTACGCGAATTTCTGTGTAATTGTCCGATAATTTTGCGTTTAGCGGCCAGGCCTTGCGACAACTGGAAATAGCCGTTCGCCGAAGACGGCGTGCAAGATAATTTCTTATCTCTACGGAATCCCGATGCAAAACTGCATCGACGATCATTTCCGTGTAGGAAACGAATCGTCGTGCAGCCGGTGGTAATAATCGGCCGGAAAATATGGCGACTTTTATCCCCGCGGACTCGCGACACGATGCGCGTCCGCGATGACTGCGCGCGCGGATTTCGCGTCACGTACGCACAACACGCGGGACGTCCCACTTCTGCCACATTAGTTTTTCGTGACGGACTCTCCGAGTGGCCAACTTGGAGTCGGCCTTTTTTCTTGCCGAGCGAGATGTCAAGGCGCGCAGTCTTCGAATAATTAACGATCAGAGAATCCGGGAACTCCTCTGGGCTCCCGTCTTTGAAGCGGTTGCGTATACGCAAGTGTCATTGCGCAGCGTTTTTATGGTACGATTATATCTTTAAGCAAAGACACGTGTACGCAACTGTTTTGAAAAAAATCAGGGCCGCGGCTTCGAGCCGAGAGAGAATGACGGTAAAAAACAAACGACGGTATCATGCTCTTTATTTAGGGGAATGCCGAAGTCGACGACGTACTTGATAAGCGTTTATAACGTAGAGACAAAATGTTATGTTACATAAACATTGAATATGATATTCTTTCTTTATATATATAGATGTTACGTAAATGTAAATGCAATAAATGTGTTCTGTTTCACCGTATCTGACGGAAAATCTAACTAAGATAGGGGAAAAGTACAGTGATTAGCAGTTTTAGAATACATTTTTATTTTAAGCTGTCTCTTAAAGCAAAACTGATACTTGTGGAATCCGTTTTCTTTTCTTTTTCGTAAAGATTAGTCAAGATTCTACGCTACAAGAATACACAGTTATATTAGAAAAATTACATGTACTTTATACGCCAAATAAAATATCGAGGTGAAGTAACGAAAATCATAGTAATTGGCACTCATGTCATAATGATTGGTATCACTTATCACAGTGATTACCATTCGCTAGAAATATGTAAAACAAAGAAATATGTCACAATTCAGAGCTGGTTGATTACCGAAATTCAGTATTTAAGTTGCGCTGCTAAACGAAGTTTATTCAAATTGATGAATTGATCGATGAATTATTTAAAAAACGCTTTATTAGTCAAATGCAATGCCCACGCACGCGTACACCAATATATCGGCGGCCTCTAATTGCAACCTAATGAGATAATCAACACTGCAACTCAATCGACTGCTTTTCGCCAGACTCCTTTCTCCCTTATCATCAACAGCTACACATTTCATGATAGTAGTTAGTCTGTTTTGCGTTTAAATACGCCGATGTACTCCTGTCAATCACTCTCCCGCTATACAGAAATTTTCAGCAAGCTTCTCATATCTCTATAGGCCTCGAAATTTCACTGAAAAGTTTTTAAGTATGGCATCCCCTTAATCTCGAGGATAGTGATGCGTTACTTCGACGGAATCTTCTCAACTCAAGGCCTGCCCGCAGGAAGGTACACAACACTTTTCGTGCAAACCACAAGCCAGACTAGTTTCCACCATTGTTCTCCGTCTTCCCGAGCGGCGGACGGGGTTAATGGCCGTCTTCGCGAGCCACGGAGTCGGCGATTGGGTCAGCGAGTATGTCCTGAACTTACGACCCAGATCTGACCGATGCAAGCCGAGTGGCTGGAAAAAGTAACGGCCGAAGGTGCCGGTACTACCGTCTCGGAACTGCCTCGAGACAATGGTGGCGTGGTTAAAGTGCGGAGGAAATCAGGCGAGCGAAGAGCGTCCGGCGAATTTACCCGCGGGAATGAATCGGCAGACGCGAGATCTCCCCGCGATATTCTCGCGAATCATGGAAATAAGCGAGACTGGTCTCTCTCTCTCTCTCTTTCTCTCGCAAAATGCTCGTTTCACGAAGAACGAAAAAAGAGCGAAGAGAGATGATTATTTCCGCTCGTCGTTCACGCCGTCGTAGTGGTCCGTCGGATCTCCCCCCGTGCGGGAGAAATTGGCAAAAGGAAAATCGGAAAGGCCAGCCGGATGATTCCGGTCGGGAGAGTAGCCGAGGCCCCGTCGGCGATGATAGTCACCTGGGCGAACGTGTCGCTCGACTTTTTGCTCGCTAAAGCCGCTCGGCAAAACGAGCGATAGGTCGCGACGCGAGGGAGAGAGCGGCGGAAAAAGGGAAATCGCCGATACCGCAAGGATGGCAAAGAGAGGAATGAGAGGTGTTCGCGATGGGGTCTCCAGCGATCTACAACTTGGAGAAATGACTTAGTAATAGCGATCAAATCTCACTAGCTAGTTCGAACTTTGCTGCCATTGTCATTTGTTTGGTCCATTCCAACGGACAAATTTGCTTCTATCGAAGAAATTTTATCAAATCCAATGAAATCTTATTTTCTCCATGTGTGTAATACATATAAGTTTAGTATATATTTCAATCGAGAATATTCAATTAAGACAAACCTTGGTTAGTTTGTTCTAGCCGAATTTAACTAGCTAAATTTATCAGCTGTTCGCAAGTAAAAAGCTGCAGCGAACAATATAGTTGTACTTTGTAGCAAATTTTATTTGAATTCATTTTATTTAAATTGTAATTTATTAGCTGCGGTAGCAACGATATTAACTGTTCCTATTTTAGCTGCCACAGCTAGATTTTAACTCCCGTGGCTAATTCTTCCTCTGCGTATGGATACACAATTGACAAATATCCCAACAGGCATGTAGTTCAAAGGAAAAATGACTTATTTGTCGACATATTTTACAATGTCATTTTACAATGGTAATCGTTCCAGTATTTACGTTACGTCACCGTGTCATTTTATAATGTTAATCGTTCCAGTATTTACGTTAGCATTCTATTCACGTTAGCCTTAGAAATACGGTTTATCCGACTCCCGTTTCTATCGTATTTTACATTTTGCATTAAACTTGACACGTTGTGTCAAGCGCAACATATATGCAGCCGTTCGAGGTAATATTTCGGGTAATATTTCAACGTCGTGAAGTTAAATTACTCACGCTGCGCTCTCTTTTCCGATTACATTTTAGTCAGCTTACTTTCGCAACAGATAATCGATGCCTTAATTACGGTTAATCACCTCGCTCGGGAAAGAAAAAAAAAATCGGAAACTGGTCTTGATTATCCGCATATCCATAAAGAAAACCCGTTGGTACGGTGGATTCGTTTGTAAAGGTACAGTTAAACTTTCGATCGCAACAAACTTCAACCGACAACAAACTTCAACCGACCCGACAATCTAATATGGTATCATTAAGTTCACTCGCTAAACGTTTATGTTCGAGGCACAATAATTACCCAGCGACATGCATCCTCTACTTTCGTTACTCGTAATAGATTATCTCCCCGTCCACGCTAGATGAGCGGCGAAGATAATGTAAAATCGACACGTACCAGCCATCAACGTCGATATCGATCGTTCCCCTTATTATCGC